TTAACAATTCATTAACAGAGAGAGTTTTTTTCTCCTCAAAAAAATAATTCAAGGGTAAAATTGCCCCACTTAAAAGTATAGGGTGCCTAACGCTCTTTAAAAATAAGTATAGTGGTAAAATTGGACCTTAAACCTTTAATAAATATTGCCAAAATATTAAATATTTTCATATTTAATAATTTAAATATTAATATTTATAAATATTTATTCAAAATTTATAAATTAATTTTTAAATATTAATAACTCAAACTAGCACTAGCATTTTATAAATTTCTACATGACTTCTTATTTTTTATATATCAATCTTTGATATTTTTCTTCGAGACAATGCCTAAATCATTAAGCTTTTTATGTGTGTTACAACTTACTTATATTTTTAATATTGATTAATTTTCTTAATTTTTTTGGTCAACTAATGATTTTTCTCCAAAATATTGTACTACCCAAATTTAATACTCTTTGTCCGTTGCAATGTTAGGAGTAATATCAGAAATATGACAATCAAGGCCAACAAAATGACAACAATAATGGTTATTTGAAGATATCACTTATTTTATTAATGTGCTATAAAAATGTTACTTAACAAGAAAAAAATGGAGAGATAGGAAGAAAAAATTTCCTCGTTAATTTGGAAGTTCATTCCTTTAACAAGGTTAATGTGTAATTTTATCCTTAAACTATTTTTAGAGGAGCAATGTTGCCCCTGTCGTTACAATATCCATTATTGTAGCTAGTGAAACCCATTTTTCATGAGTTAAGGTGCAATTTTGCCCCTAAACTAATTTCAAAAAAGCAATGTTGCCCTCACCATTTAAAAATCACTAAAAATAAATAAAAATAAAATCATAATAATATTAAATGTAAATACAAATATAAAATTATAATAGTATTAGATGAAAATAATATTAAATGTATATATAAAATAAATATTAAAAAAATTATAATATGTTAATAAAACATCATAAATGAAGAATATTATAAATTATAATTTTATAACTTGTTAAACATAAGTGGATCTTGATTAAATTATATATGAATAGAGATAAAAGTATCTACATTTATACCTATAATTATCGAGTGGAGCCATCATTAATGACTCAATTTGGATTAAAAACTCATTTTCATGATTCAGCTGGATTAGACAAGAGTTACACTGCTATTAAGTTAAAAATCAAAGTTGAATTAGGAATTGGAGTGATTTTCAAAAAATTAGATGATTTTAAATATAATATTAAAAAAAGCTTAAAAATTTTTAAAAAATAGAAAAATTTAAAAATTAGACCATACTGAAAACTAAATTTATTTTTGAACAATTCACATGTATAAAATATGATTTGAGACTATTTTTTTTATAAAGATGTTGATAGTTATAGGTATAAATGCAAATGCTTTTGAGTCTACTCATATCTAATTTAACCAAGATTCACTTATATTTGACAAGTTTAAAAATTATAGTTTATATTTTTTTCTTATATGTATGTTATGTATACATTTAATATTATTATAATTATATATATATACATTTAATATTATTATAATTTTATTTTATTTTATTTTATTTTTAATGTTGAGGGCAACATTGCTCCTTTGAAAATAGTTTAGGGGTAAAATTGTACCTTAACTCATGAAAAGTGAGTCCCACTAACTACAGTAATGGACATGTTAATGACAAAAGCAATATTGCTCTAATTTGATTAGTTTATGGACAACATTGTTATGATAAATAGTTTAAGGGCAGCATTGCTCCTCTGAGAATAATTTAAGGGCAAAATTGTACCTTAATCCTTTTTAATACAAAATTACAAAATATTAAAATATTAAATTGGCGTAATATTTTTAAATAATAATATTTAAATTATTAAATATTAAAATACTTAATATTTTAATCATATTTATTAAATTTTATTTTAACAAAACTTTAGGGTATTCAATGCTTCTAAAAAAGACTTTAGAATACTTAGCGCTCTTAAAAAAAGAGTTCAAGAATAAATTAACATCAAAGGATATGGTCAAAGTTTCATATGTCATTGTGCGTGGCCCCTATGCATATGCGATATCAATATATAATGGTAGAATTAACGGTTCATTAATAGAGGGGGTTTTTGCTTCTTAAAAAATAGTTCATGAATAAAATTGTCTTATTTTAAAATATAAGGTGTCCAGTGCTTTTAAAAAATAAATTCATGAACAAATTTGGACGGGACCTTAACTCTTATATGAAAAAGGGAGGAGAAGCCGGGAAGATAAAATGAAATTGCAAAATTTTAGAACTTTGTATTAAAATTTCACATTAATATTATTGAATATCATTTTTGTTTGTAAAAGAAATCTTATTAATTAATACTTTTATGTTTATGAAAAAATGGAGGGAATAAAATAAAATCTACTAAAATGTTACTCTTATAATTAAGAAAATTAAAAGAAAATTTCTTTGTATAAATATTTTTTATGTAAATATTAGTTGAAATGATTATAAATGAATTTATTTTATGGTTTATATATATATATGTTATTTAAAAATATTAAATAAATTAAAATGGTTTGACTATAGTTTGATTACTATTAGACTACCAATATACTTACTCCCTCTGTTAAAAAATATAACACTTTTTTAATTAAATTTTAACTTTAATAAAGTAGTTATTTACTTTCAAACTAACATTATCTCTCTATATTTACCTTTATTAAATACCTTACAATATATATAAAGTTATTCATCAATAGGGATACTTAAAAAAATAATAATTATAATTTAAAAAATTAAAAATATTTTATATTTTTTAATATTCAACACCTAAAAAAATATTTTACATATTCGTGTTCATCAATTTGGAATCTTCCTATGAACAGTGAATAAACAGTAACGTACCACGTGAGCCATGCTTTTTCCGTTTCATCTTTTTCTATTCCCACGTGAACTGCTTTGTCCCATTTTGTATCATTTTATTTATTTTATTATGCATGAACAATACTTAAATAGTAAATTACCAAATATACCCCTGTTTCTATCCTATTAGGCTATTTTGCAAGATATTAAAAACTAGACCGATCATTGAACCAGTCGAAGTTAAGGATCAGGGGTCAAGAGTTCAATCATGGTCGAACAGGGAATTAAATCTGAGTTAGATCGGTCATAATAAAATTAAAAAAAATAAATAAAAACTCATTAATTCTTATACATTTGAAACTTAATATCCTATACAATATAAAATAATAATTTTAATAATAATAAAACACAACCACATTTCAAATATTCATTCATATAATCCTCTCATCATTTAAAAGTTTTAGAACTAATAATAATCAATACCAACATTATCTTTAAATAAATTAATATAATTTTAGTTTTATATAGATGACCTCAAATAAAAAAGAATATAAAAATTTAAATAATAATAAGAGTAAAGTTAAAAACAATAATTAATTAGTTTCTGAACAACAATAACAAAATTTAAATAGTTAAATTATAAATATAAAAATGTAATTAAGAATGAGAAATAAATAAAATTTTACACATTATTTATGTTTTTAATGTCAATCCACGTAAAAAAATAATAATATAATTTCAAAAGTTATTTATATTTGTAATAGGATGATGATATAGGTTGATAGGCATAAGAAAGTAAAGCTAGGAATACGGGCGAGCTCGTCCCTTAAGAGTCTAAGCCCTAAAGCTCGATTTTCTATTTTGAGCCTTATTTCTCAAGTTTGGTCCTTATATAAAGGGCTTAGGGCTAAACTTGCAAGTCCTTTTTTAAAAATAAAAAACTTAAAATAAAATTAAACATTATAAATTAATTAAAATATTTTAAATTTATAAAAAATTAAAACCCTCACAATTTTTTGGAAATTAAAAAATACACATTTAAAAGTCTAGTAATAAAATTTAAATCTTGATTAAAAATAGTTTATCTTTTTATAAATACACAAACAAAATAATTATAAAAATAAAAAAATATCAGAAATTTTATACTATACACTAATATTTATTAAATTATATTAAATTAATTTTAGAATAAATTAAAATTAATAATAATATAATGTGTGTAGAATTAGGTGAGCATGTCATTGGCTTCAAACACATGTTCCATCAAAGAAAATAATAATAATAATAATAATAATAATAATATAACAGGGTTTAAAAGACTGCCCAAGCACGAGCCTTTTTTTATAGGGTTTATCAGAGCTAAACCCTCAAGCCCAATTACTTTAAAAAAAATTATTTTTAAAACTCGAATCCTTATTTAAATAAAGTCTTCAAGCTCGACTCTTCAAATCCAGCTTTTATTTTTGACTCTATAAGAAAGTAGCTCTTAATTTTTGTTAAAAAATAAAAAGTTTCTTGCATTAGCGGTGAAAAGATGTAAAAAAGGCCAAGACATCAGTGCTGCATTGGTTAGCATGAGGCATGGGAAAATGGAATAGCTCAAGGTCCAAAGTTGTAAAAAAAGAGGAGATAATGAGCAGAAGAGGCAACGAGTGTTTAGTTCGACTGGAGAGCTTAAAACATGAGAGAATCAGAGAATAATGTTAACGTTCAGGCGCCGGCGAGCTTCTTCCTCTCCATTTTCATCTTTTTTAACTTTCCATTAGCTTTGTTCAATGATCGTCCTCTTCTTCATGGTATTTACTGCTCTCTCTCTTTTTCTTTTTCCTCTTTCCTTCTGTCTGCGGTCTGATCATTTTTTATTGATTTTCTCCCTTTCTTTCTTGACCCACCCAACTCCCCTGACCTGAGAGTGAGGCGAGTTAATCCGGGTTAATGCCAGGTTACCCGAATTAACCCGGGTCAACTAGTGTCAAAAGAAAACACAAAACTGGACCAGACACATGGCGTCGGTTTCCGGTTCAACTGGCCGGTGCAGTCCGGTTTTACAAACAATACTATTTTGTATCTTACTTGCATGGTAAATTATCGAAAATGCCATCCGATCCTAAAGGCATCAATTGATGCTATTTTCCTTCATCTGCAAAATTTTTCTTCCTCTCCGCGTCCGTCTCCAGCATTTTGCAGGTGCCCTGGTCCCCAATCTTGCTCCCTAAGCTTTCGCGTTTTGCATGTGCCCTGATTGAAATTTTACCTGTCCCATTTTCCTTCGTATGCGTTTTCTCCTTGCATTTAGGTTGCTTGCATATTAAGGGAACCGGTTCCCCACATGCCAGGTGCTCGTCGCTAACTCGCTATCATCATTAGGTTTGAGGTGATTTACTTGGGTGGCAAGCTGCATTCCCACCTGGGGGTTGATTACTCTTTATTATGGTTTTTTGCTGTTAGCTGGTTCAAATTCAAATTTTGCGTCGTCCGTGTCTATTTATTTCTTTCCCGAGTCGGGGTTCCAGGGGTGTGCATTATCATGGTGTTCTGAGTTTGGTGTGTTTTCTCCATTTGGGTGTGTTCTACCAGTCGACCTCTACTCGGGGTTCCGTTCTTTGGGGGCAAGGCAGTTTTTCATTTGTGGTGGGTCTTGCGATTCGTGATGTTTTATTCAGCCATTCACGATGATTGTGTTGTTCTAATTTAAATCCTTGGCTGTGATTTATTTCTGTTCATTTGCTGGTTTTATGTCCCTAGACCATCAAGTTGCTCTCTCCGTTGTGCATGAGATATTCTACGTCCCCTGTGGGTCACCATCACAGCTGCAAAAGGCGAAGGGATTGAAGCCGCTACCCTATCCTAACTTTACTCGCACCAGGTCTTCTTTCTAACTCAGAGAGTGGATTCGTGTTTGAAACGTCTTCCCCTGTGTTGATATTCGTTTGAATTTTGGAAATTCTCAGTTGTGCTGTAATTTTAATTAAATTGGGGTCTAGGATCTACTATTTGATTTCAAGTGAAGAAGTGCTCCCTAAGTCAAAAGAGTTGAGGAACACGATTTTTAGTTAAAGCCATAGGTGTGGGTTTATATTTGTGCAACTAGGGTTTTTAGTTAAAGCCGTTTAGCATTTTGATCTTTCCTTCCTCAGCTTACCCCATTGAATTGAAAATCACAAATTTTGAAGTTTGTTCTGCAGCTTTTGCGGGAGATGGGATTGATATTTTGATGATTTTGATTCTTTATTCCTTATGTTCTCCTTACTTGTGTGCTATGAAATGCTACTAGCATCGATGATTGGTGTAGCAGAATTGGAAAATTTTCTTGCGGTCAATGTAGTTTATTTCTATTACTATAGGTATCAGTATCAACATCAGTTAAATATTATGTGATTTCTTAATTCAAAATTGGTCTACTTTTGCTCTGCTGTGTTGTTCTCACATCGTTGACTAGACAGAGATCTTGTAACAATGTTCCTCAGCCTCATGCCATCCTATATTACTCTCAACGAACGACCAAGGGGGGTCTTTTGATAACTGAAGCTAATGGTGTTTCTGACACTACTCATGGGTAATTTGTACACTTTATTATTCCTTGTGTTAACTTTATCTCATTTTGCTAATATGTTTCACAAAATGTGTTTCATTTTTTGTTTTCTGTTATCGGTGAAGCTATGCTGATACACCTATAATATGGACAAAGAACCAGTGGAAGCATGGAAGCCCATTATGGATGCTGTTCGTGCCAAAGGTTGGATATTTCTTTATTTTTCCCTGGCATATGGAAAGGGTTTCAGATTTAGGTTTTTTTTCTCTGAATGTGTCTCTGATGTGAGAAGAGTAGCTAGAAAATATCTTGTCTTTTCTATTGAGTTAACAAGATATTTGACATGTTTCAGTAGATTATCACTTTGAATGGCCTAAAACCATGCTATATGACAATTTGAGCAATACATTCTTGGGAAATGATTTTTGAATTATTATGAGCTTGTGCTGCCTTCTTCTCTGCTGCTTATTAAATGTTTGGACTTTTAATGAGTATATTTTTCATCTGGTTTCTGAACACCATTGCTGCAAAGGTTGGACTTTTGATGAGTATTTTAACCAATTTTATCCTATTGTTTCATCAGTATCCTAGATGTAATGTCAAACTTGGATGCATAACTGTTAAGATAATGATGCCAAGTAATAAATAACATCTAAATTTACATATGGTTAGATTTTGTATTACTTCTTTAAGGGATAAAGGGGCACAATGGAAACATTTTGTAACTGCAAAAGTTTAATTACATGAGATTGTTGGTATAAATCTTAAATGTAGAATATTTAAGTCTGATTTAGAACTTCTACATATTAGTTTTTGTTTGTTTGTCGTTATTAACATTTATGACTAAATTAAATTGAAATCACTATTTAAATGCATACTATCATTGCCTAAAAAAATTTTGGCCTTTTATTCTGCCATCCAAAATGATGAAAGTTTTACAAAGGAGTTAGCATCTTGCATGAAAGCTCTGTAGACATCAGTTAATCAACACATGGCTATAGAAGAGAAGTAGGGGTGTGTGTGTGTGTTTTTTTTTTTTTTCCCTTTATTCCACTTTGACTCAGAATGAGAAAATACAGAGCTAATTGAAAGAGTCACTTTGTAGTTTATATATGTACTAAATATGGAGCTATGATGAAGATGAATTGAAAGATTCACTATATATTATGTACTTTATATTTAATGTTTTATAAATTGTCTATTGTTTTTGTTTGATGAATATTCACTTGTGAACCATTTGAAGCACACCAAGAATTTAAAATAAAATTAAAATATATAATAATATTTTTAATTGTATTTATATTAATTTTAAAAATTATTTTACTAAGAAAGAATGTTGGTTTGGTGGGATTTTATTGATAGTTTGTATGCACAAGATCCACGAGGTCGTGGCTCAGAAAAAAAAAAAAAAAGATCCACGAGGTCGGTTCTTACTCTTTCAAAAAGGAAGATTTTTATTTTGTTTCAGCTTTGCGAATTTATCATTTTGACCTCAAAAGCAATCAGATTTTTTTCTCTTTCCTGAACCCATTTTTTTTTAATTGTTTTCATTAATCCATCAGAAACAGGGGATGGAGCCGGGAGAGAGTGAAATCCAGATTTGAGCCCTTCATTCTTCTCCTTGCTTGGCTTTCCTCCGTCGCCGATGAGTGTGTATCGTCTTCCGCCACTGCAAGGAGTTCCGACGAGGTGACCATCGACCTTCTCCCCTGTTGTGTCAGCTAAGAAACTGCCATTGTTGACGGAGGGTGTCAGATTCTTCTCCCTCCTCTGTTCTCAGCTTCACCGGCGTGGGTGGCAAGGATTCGACTTGCCACGAATCCGTGCCACCGCCTTCTTCTCCCTATGCTTCACTTCGTTCAGGTTTTTCTACCGTCTCCTTCTGCTCTTCTTCTCTGACCGCTCTAGCAAATCGAAGATCGTTCTTCTTTTCCTCAATGGCGTCGACTGCGTTGAGTAGAGCTTATCCTTTCTTCTATCCGTGTGCTGCTGTCGGAATTGCCATCGAGTCCCTCGTTCATTGTTTTCCTTTGTTTCAAGTGCGCATGAGCTTCTCCCTTCTCGTTTGTTTTCTTTATGCGTGTGATTTAATGATGAAGATTATGATATTTCTTTTCTTTTATTCTGTGCTGGTATGCTCAAATAGAGAATGAGGGATTTGGGCAAGCTGAAATTTTCAGACTATTTGAGTTGGATGAAGCAGTGTAGATTTGAATTTTAAAAAGCTTATTTTGATTTGGTTAAAAGAATGAAACTTACGAGGCTTAATTAATCTAAATATTGTTATGGGGAAATTCTGGAAAGGAAATTAAGGAAGAGGTTTGGTGTTTGTTTGAAGTTTGATGTATATGAGATGTTTGATAAAATACCTATTGAGAAAATTTTGCTTTGAGTATGCATTCATAACATTGTTATTGGTTTGGGCATTATTTATTTGTAAAAATAAATTGATTTTTTTGTGAAGGAATATGTCTAAGAAGTTATTGAGGTCTAATTTGAGTTTTGAATTATTTTACTTCTTGAAGTCATGGTATATACTTGAAAGATTGATGAAAATGCTTTTACATATTCTAGTACTCTTTTGTTCGATAGAGATAATTATGGAAATTGGTTAAAGAGTTTGAGTTATTAGTTATGAATTTTCATATTTAAAAGATTGATTATTTTAATTGGTTCATGTAAGTTTGATACTGATAAGAGGAATTTATATTTTGAAAAATAATTATTTTCTTGCATGTTTGAAAATGGTTTTTTGAAGGGGCTACATGCAAAATACTAATTGCTAGCAGCAGCTCCATTAGCCCTTGGCACGCCATAGGCAATGATTAGCTAGTTTGATTTGTGTGAGCTATGTTCTCACGTTTGTTATTCGTGGGTTTAACACTTGCGTTTGATTTATTGGCTTCGAGCCGCGTTGGGTTAGCATTACTCTTGTAGATTTTGTGTTCACATTTGTTTCGTAGCTCAAGCTGCGTTTGGTTACTTACCCTCGTGAGTTGTATGTCCACGCTTGTATTCATGGCATAAGTCACGTTTGATTATTTACCCTCATGGACTGTATGTTCACGTTTGTTAATTATTTTGATAAGTCCTTATAATATGAATTTGACTATTTGATGATTTTACATTCCATTGATTTTAATTAGTAAATTATTTATAATTATTTATTTTTTTCCTTGCAATCAAGTGATAACATAATAATATTTGATATAATATTTTAATGGTTCAAGGTTTTATTTAAAATTTTATAGAATTTTTTTATTTTCAAAGTTTATTGAATTTTTATGAAGATCGTTGCCTCTTAAATTATATAATTGTTTTAAAACTTTCCTTTTATTTATGTTCAATTATTTATTGTTAGAATGTTATTCACTGTGAAGCATTTTGTTTGGTCTCAAATAGCATAATTAATGTGGTGTCTCTTGCTGATTGTTGATGGGGTTCATTGTTGAATTGACTAAAATATCGGTTATGAGAATATCTTCTTTTTTATGTAAATTCTAGAATTTATGTAGTATGTTTGAAAATATGATTTAGAGTGCTCCACATTGATTATAGTTAGGGTCTTAATTCTCTCGTTATGTTGTCTATCGGTTATTGAGAAGCAAATCTTTTATAGTTAGGGCTGGCTCTTCCTCTCTCTACTTTAGATAGCCGTATGGAGCCATCGTCGTCAAGTATAGCGTGTTTAGTAGCTAGAGTCTTTGTAGGGGTCACCACTCCCCGTCCTCTAGCCACTATACATATTGCTCCACAGTAGGATCACCCGAAAGGTCCTCAAGAGACGGAACCAAGAGGGACAGTGCAATACCAATAGAGCCATTTGAGCTGTGTCCAGTTGCAAAAGTGTACTCTAAGGAATCAACTTCCCCCTCTATGGTCAGTTCTTTCGGAATAAGCCTAATTTGTTTAGGTTCGCACTCCTTATTATAGCAAATAAGCAACTAGTTTACGGAGTAAACCGAGACTTGAAAGGTTGAAACCGTTAGGACATAAAAGTTAGGATGTGACATAACAGAGATGAAGTTATGAAAGAAGATAGTGATAACAGCTCTCTGTTTCTTTTCCCTCAGCAACTGCTCATAACTAGCAGCTCTAGTGACCAGGTGAAACAGATTGGTGAATTTGTAAGATTTCTGTTGTAAAGATTTGGGAGATTCTAATTTTAGGCGGGGTGCTGTCAAAATTTTTATAAGAAGTTTGAAATTTTGATTTATATGAAAAGTAAAATTAGATATATAGAATCATGCTGATAATGTGTCAAATGTATTAATTCAAAACTTTTCTTAATCAAGGCTTTAGGAATGTAGGTTTGTGCATATGTCCCATGCTAGTTACGCTAAATTTTTAAGGTGTGACACATTACTTTCGTGCAATGTTCTGTGATGTTGGAAATGACCCTGAAGGTGGTTACTATGCAAGGTAGGTTTTACTACAACTTTCAATATGAAAAGAGTGTTAGGTTTTGTATTGTTTTTCATTCGTTTTCCTATATCTTCATTGGAAGGCTGTCTTGCATTCCTTTGTTGAATATGCGGGAAATAAAATTAACTTTTATAGTTTTATTTAGTAAATTATTGAAACCAGCCAAACATGTTGACACCAACTGCAATATGTATTCATGATTTAAAAATGGGTGTTTTTTTACACTGAAAGTTAAGGAAATATATGCATGCAGTTGTTTTCATGTCATAGAACAAAACTCGCGCAAAAATTTTCTTCCTTTGTCAAACTAGTTCTTTACAGAACTTTAAAGACAATCCACTTTTTGACATTCACACTGAGCATCCAATTGCATAATATGAGTCTATAAGGACATGCAGCGAGCTACATTTTGCTTGTGCCCACTTGGTTGGCTCCTTGGAGCCCAAGATTGGCTGAAGCTATCGTGTTTGGTTGCATTCCCGTTATCATTGCAGATGATATTGTTCTACCATTTGCTAATGCAATCCCATGGGAAGAGATCAGTATGTTTGTTGACGAGGAAGATGTCCTTAAGTTGCCAGACCATGCTCACATCTATACCCTCGAAAGTAAATGCTAAGAGGCAAAGATTGCTTGCTTACCCTTCAATGGAACAAGCCATGTTAATCCCTCAACCTGCTCAGCCAAGCGATGTATTCCATTAAGTTCGAAGTGGGCTTGCTCCTTAGTTGCCACATGACAAGATTATAGCCTGTGTAGAAGATCTATTTTTTGAAAAATGTGTACATAATGATATTTCGTTACAATCATTCCTTTGGCTAACTAATTTTAAGCATACATGAAAGGAAATTGAAAATTTTTAGACATGCCAATTCAAAAATTAAACACACATGTTCTACTTTAAAAATTTTAAATATAATTGATGTGTATGTACCTTCATCGTCACACTTTTTAGTTGGTCCTTCTTTTTTCCAGCATATTGCAATTGTCTTCCGAGATCTTCACAAAAACTATGGCCAAAAGAGTTGTTTTACTACGTTTGGAACTCAGGAAATGCTTTAAAATTAAACCATAGATTGATAATTGATAATCCTATAATAATTTTATGTCATACAATTAGTTTAAGCTTTTATAACCATGCCCATTGAGATTATTTAAAATTATTAATGAGGTAGAGGTTGCTAAGTTGATATGTATAAGAAATTTGTGATTGTATACTCACAACAATAAATGAAACTGTTGCTAAGTTCTATTTATGTAAAGTTAGATGAAATAATTGATTTAATTATAGTTTGAACAATTATGTTTTTTACTTTTTATTTCTTTATTGATTTTCAATTCTTTATTTGTTATGATTATTTTTATCTCAAGTGCTTATTTCATAAATATGTTTGATTAATTAATATTGCTATAAAATGATTTTTGCTATGCTTCATTGTTCTCATTTGCTTGGTTTATAGATGTTGTGTTTCCCCTCTTATGAGTTAGTGAGATATATTTTTAGCTCATCTAAAATTTGTTGAAGTGGTTTGTAGGTTAAGAATTTACAAAAAATTTTGCTTTGAAATTTTTTTTTAAGTATAAGTATTAAGTGCTTTATTTATTGAGCAAGAATTCTTTTTTTTTTTGGGCCCTCCCTTGAGGAAGTTATATTTTTTCAGAACATCTATATCTTTATAAATTTGGGATTTTGGGATGAAGAGTGAATGAACAGTGATTTACCAAAAATGCCCCCAAATATCCCAAATCTATATATAGATTTGTCACTGTCAGATGGTATTGTAGATCTACAGTAAGACTTCTTAATTATTTTTTTAAATTTGTTACCCATCTCCATCTAACATTTTTTTTTCTTTTTTCTTTATTTCTTGGATGGGTACGGTACATCCAACATTTTCTTTTTTTTATTTTTATTTGTCAATATTTTTAATATGATATAGTAAATAAAAAATATGAGTAGGGTCTACATTTATCAATTTTACAAATTTAAACAAGGTGTAAAAAATAATAAAATCTTTTATATTTTAAGAAATCATGTAGGATTTTGTACTAAAAATTAACAGTGAATATTAGATTTTCATTAAAATAATAGGTGTTAGATATATAAAGAATTTTTTATATACTCCTTTCATTCAAAATGTAAGGTATTTTTTTAGAAATTGAATGTTCTAAAATGTACAGTATTTTTAGTCTTTTAAGGTATAATCATTATTTTTTTTTAAAAGTATCTTTTTGAATAATCACTTTATATTTATTTTAGGATAAAATATCTTATTAAATAGGGGTACATATAAAAAAATAAGAGTAGTTTGAAGATAAGTAACTATTTATTGAGGATGAGATTCAATTAAAAATATTTTATATTTTTAAATAGAGGATGTATTTATTATTAACACAAGGTAACAAATCAAAATAGTTTGTGTGAGTATATATAGAACAAGTTTCTGTTCATATTCTTTAAGTGCATAATGAATAAAAATCTATTATTCTATTATTTATATGTAAAAGTTAATTATAATTTAAACACCTATGAAAAATATTGATGTAGTTATGTGCCTCAAGTCTAAGCAACAAAAATTATGGGCTACAAATTAATTATATAATATTAATTAATTTATCTTTCACTGCACACCTAATCTTTTTTTAATAACCATTGTATTACTTGCGAGGCTTATATGTATGATTGATAAATGATAGTAAAACATGGATTATATTATTTGCTTGATTTAAAACCATTATAATTATAATTTATAAATAATATTATCACATAAATTGTAGTACGATTCATTATAATATATGACTTGTTTTTCTTAAGGTGATATAGGACAACAGATTTTAAAAAAGAATAAGCTAGATTATATTTCAAATTGTAGGATGTGAGAAATTTTAAAAAATAATGATATTTTTTAATATGTATAAGAGTAGTACATTGTAAAATAAAAACCATTCTTTATAAGTATCATTCTATTAAAATTTTAGTCTCATACTTGTCGACTATAGAGATATCCTAGGAAATAAAAGAAGAAGAAGTGTTCCTTAAAAAAAAAATTGGTGAATAGTGTTCCTTAAATTTTAACTTACATGGAATAATACCATTCTAAAATAAAATTAGTTACTATTTATATTTTTAATATGTATGAACATAACAAATTTTCAAATAAAAATATTCTTTAGATTCTGATTTGCACAAATTAATAAATTGTAGAGTAAAATATGCTAGCATTCCTTTTATTTTGTTAGAATTATAAAGGTATCTTTTTTATTTTTAAAACTTACACTATAGTCTTATTAGTCAAGATTATAAAATTTAAATGAGCATAAACATAATTTATATTGATTAATTTATTCCTTATTCTATTAAGTTTTTTTTTCCTGCAGATACATGTTTGAAATATTATTTTAATAAATTTACTCCCTTTATTACATTTTTAGGGGTTATTTTTCATGAATTGGATGTTAAAAAATATAAAATATTTAGTATTTAAAAGTTTAATCATTGAATTTTTTTATAAAAAAATGCCTATAATGAATAAATTATTTTATATTTATTTTAGAGTGATACACTCAATTAAATAGTAAATATAAAAAAATAATCTTATTTTAAAGACAAGTAACTAATTTATTAGAGGTGAGATTCGATTAAAAATTTCTTACATTGTTTAAAAGATGGAGTGTGTATTTAATTTTTAAAAAAATACTAAATAAATTAGTTTGTATGACTAATAAATTTAAAATATAAATAAAAATTTAAAAGAATATATCAAGAATGGTAATTGTCAGTTAATGATTAGATGGGTAAAAATAAAAACTTAAAAGTAAAAAATATATTTGTATTTTATAACTCTTAACTATTGATTTTAAGAAGGATTCATATAATTTTTTTAAAATTTTTTATAACTAAGATAAAGTAAAGGAAAAAATAATATATTTTTATTTTAAAAATATTTTCATACGATGTATGGGCATAAATTTAATTAATACTTAAATCAGTATCTCAAGCGGTTTAATAATTAGTTTGATTTTAAAAACTCGCGAAAATATGCCTTCTAAACCCAAAATTTTCGCACCAGGCATGCCCACCACGTGTCAATAAAGTTGTCAAGTCAGCTAGAGTGCGCTGATAACAGACAAAATGGTTCGGGAACCAAATTACACAGCTGGCGGAAAACTTGGACAGACATGTCCATATCCTTTGAATTTAGCTCCAGTACATCATCATTCATCACTTTTAAGATAGTGTTTGGGTTAGTAAATTTAAATTCAGATTCTAGATTTAAAATTTTATTATTTAAGTTTCATATTCAAAATACATGTATTTAAAGTCTTTAGTCTAGGTACTTCAAAAAATTTTAAATGAAGAATATAAATTAGTTAAGATTCAAAATAAAAATAAAAAATTAATAATGAAAAGTTTGTCTCCATTTTTTAGCTGACAAGAGATGAAAATGAAAAATAAAAAAAGATACAAGAGTCATGAAATTATTAATAGTGAAATTATAAAAAAAATGAAATGTTTGAAGTAATTAGAATTTCAAATGATTAGAGTGTAAAAAAATTTAAAATTATAAAATAATTGTAATAAGAAATGAAATCAAATTAAAATTCATAAATTTTTATGTATCTAACTAAAAAATTTGGTTTAAATCCAAATTTTTATTAATCCAAGTGCACCCTTAAGATTGTGCATGCATTGTCATGAAGAATCTTGACAGCAAGCGAGCTAATTGAACATAAATTAATACAAATAATATGCATACAAATGGATTCAAACTTGCATATGGCAGCGTTTGACTTCAAATTATTCTTGGAAAACAAAGGAGGACATGAGAAGTGGCAGTTTTCTTTGAACAAAACACATGAAGCAGAGTCCAATTCAAGAAGCATAAGTTTCAAACGAAATAAGAAACCTGAGACACAATAGAAACTCTCCAAATGTTATCAAAAATGGCACGCGGGATCTCTATTTCTGGGATCACAATGTGGGCTCCTTGAAGGATTGTTAAAGGCGCCAAGGCAGGAACTGTATTGTCCATTAGAACCTGGAGGACACGAGACGACTGGTCTATTTCTTGTGTTTGTACCTTGAGTGACGAATTGAATTTCCCCAAGCATTCTGGCGAAGTGATGAGGCATCATGAACTCATCAGCCATATCATGGTCATCATAATGGTGATGAAGCAATCCACTGGTAATATTGACCTTGTTTTTATCTGGGTTGCTTGCCTTTGAATCTGCAGTTATAAGGATCATCATCATCAAGAGGGTGACATTGCTTTTATTCAACATCCTCATTTCCTTCACAAGTCTGATCGAATCTGATCGAGAATATATATGTGGCACTAACTCGCTTTATTTTTATTTTCTGGGCAGAAGCTCTCTCGTTGCCATATACAAGGAACTTTCTCTCTTGTTATCTATCGTTTTGATGGCATATTCTTTGAAGCTTAACCCAAAAAAAAAAACGGTTTGAATAAATTAATTCATTAATGTATTGATGATTAATATATAAATGACATGTTTTGGACTCATTAATTCATGTTTTAAAGAAAAAATAATTCTATATATTTAAATGATGGCTCTTGATTGTGAATGATTAAGATTCTGTTTTGATTGTTTTGATGACATCTTCTGTTGACAACTGTTTTGCAACTTTAATATTAATATTGGTTAAAATATAATATTGTGGAACAAAGGTTTGAATATGATATTGCTAAGTTATTGTAATTTGGTGCCTCCTTTGTTTTGTTTGCTACCTTCTTAATCTCCTCTGCGTGTGACATCCGAGTGGTAATCGAATGAATGAGATGGAGATTATTTGAGGACATGTTTTTGTCCTGCAGGAACCAAAGTGAATTA